TTCAGAATTCCTTGCTTATAGGCGATCCGCGAAATAAATTCACCGCGCTTGAATCGATGTCCACTACTGTAGATATCTTGTGTTATCTTCAAAATTCTGAAAGTTAGTAAGATTCAAATCGAAATATTCTGTTGAAAAAGACAAATCAACATTAAAAAATTATATTTACCAGACTAAAGAATGTTCTGAAATTGCGAAGTCCCACTAAAGTCCGCAAACTGAATCAGGTTTCACCTTCCTGCCCTTATCGGTATCGCGTTTGGGAATTGTATATTGTTTAATGGAAAGCTCTTTTCGTCCTTTGTTATTGCTTTGCAAATCGAGTATCCTTCCATAAAGTTTTTTTGTCTTAATCAACGCTCCTAAAGGTCTTTCTTAATCAGGATGGAACGGAAAACCACGTCTTAATTGGACATCTCAAAATTCGCAGCAAAGCAAAACAGGAACTTTGCGATAAATCGCGGAGGGACGCGTCAGTCAGTCTCAAGGCCATTTGTTGGCCGACGTCATAGGCGTGCAAAGCAGGACTATAATACGTACTCGTGAAATTGAATATACGAATTTACTAGCTCTGTCAGATGTTTCTGGTAATGAGAACTCGCTATATCGTCATGTCGAAAATTGAAGTATCGATCCATATATCGACCAATCCATCGGAATTATTGATTGATGGATGGATTAATGATGTCACTGCCCTATAACGTCATTGAAGTCTGATTCATTTTATATATTGCTATGCCGTGATACGATTATGGCATTGCGAGTGTTGCGAAAGATCTGACATGACCTCCAAACCGTCTTTACATTCATGTAATCTTTTAGGTATTTCACAATAAACATTTTCAAGGGCTATCGGAATTCTCATTCTCGATAATATTGATATCATTAAGAATGTCTACGACAATGCAGAATGACTAGGCTGAGACAAGAAATTATTCGCATTGTCATTCTCGGTATTGACGTCCAAGCCGTCTTTGAATTCGCTAAGGTATTTCACAATAAGCATATTAAGGGGATATCGGCATTGTCATCGTCGATAATATTGATATCATAAAGGGTGTCTACGACGATGAATAATGACTAGGCAGAGACAAGAGATTATTAGCTAGGGGGCGTCCTGTTAGTCTATAAAAGCTTGCCACCACAATTTTCTGCAGAGTTTCTCATTTTCTTTTCGGTTGTGTATGGCTGCATAAAAACAAAGAATTACACCCAAATAAGATAACAATGAGTTTACGAG